CCGCTGCGCCTGCGAGTCCCTCCCTTCTGCCGGGCCTGAGCCCAGCGATCGCTCCCCCAGAGCCGCCTCCCAGCGCCTCCTGGGTCCTAGCGATCATAGGCGCTGGAACTAGGGGGGGCCACCGCCCCCCCCCCCCCCGGCTTGAAGGGGTTGCATCCTATCCAGGGTTTCGTTTGGTTCAACGGCTCTCAGCCCCTCCACTGTACAAATTGTTCCAGCTCCCCTGATAGCGATACACCCATTGTGCCATTGCTTGAGAGGAGCTGCGGATTCACACACAGAAGCCTCCATACCCCTGAGCTTGGAAAGGAGGAGGGGGGTAGAGGGGAGAGGTCACACCCTGACCCACACACCCTTCCCTCCTATCCTGTCTCTCATTCTCAACTCTCCTGTGGGAGGGGACAAGGAGAGCTCTAGTGGTTTGAGCATTGGCCTGCTAAATCCAGGGTTGTGAGTTCAATCCTTTAGGGGTCCATTTAGGGAACTGGGGTAAAAAGCTGTCTGGGGGATTGGTCCTGCTTTGAACAGCAGGCTGGACTAGATGATCTCCTGAGGTCCCTTCCAACCCTGATATTCTATGATTCATCCAAACCTGCTTTGACCTAAAAAAAGAATTCAATCAAATAATGTCTCTGATCACAACAGAGTCCAAGCAACAGGTGTTCTGCCCAATTTGCCAGCTGAAGCATTCACTGGTAACTAACCCACAGTCCAGTGTTCTGAAAACACAAGCCCTGTTTCACTGGCTTTTCTACCCTCTCTCCTTTGCCTTGTGTCTGTATTTTTGTTAACAACAGAGCAAGTAAATGCCCTTCACCTATCAAAACAAAAAGTAAAACGAACCCTTTCCTTTCCAGCAAAGAAGGTATTAATAAACATTTATTAAAACCCCTAATATTTAACTAAAAAAAAACTCAAATAAAGTCTAATTACGTTTGTTTTGCATGATCACTCAACCAGAGTTTCGCTATAAATCCTTGATTTAATTCCTAGATTTTCTGTGCTTCAATAAACTTTCAATGTAAATAGTAGATATTATAGGAGGGAAATATCCATGCAAATAATTCATACATCGATGGCAATAAATCAAAACCTGATGGGATTTTGTATTTAAAGTCAGTAAGTGAGAAAAGGAGAAAAAAACCTGAGGAGTCCTACAGCAATACTTGACTATTGGAAAGCAAACAGGCGACATCAGAGGTGTCTCCATTATATCTGTTAATTAATTAAACAAATATATTATATATCTGTCTACTAGATAATTACCTAGAGGACAGAC